ATCTGTAATTGTTTTGCTTTCTGTTCACTGGTAAGCGTGGAAAAGCTAAAGATTTTGATTTGACGAGTGTATTGGCAGCGAACGATGTCGAACCCAAAAGTATTCTTTGATATTTTGATTGGGAAGATGAAAGCAGGGCGGATTGTGATGGAGCTGTTTGCCGACACAACTCCAAAAACTGCAGAGAATTTCCGAGCTCTCTGCACAGGGGAGAAGGGGATTGGGAGATCCGGAAAGTCTTACACTACAAAGGCTCAACATTTCACCGTGTAATCCCCAACTTCATGTGCCAAGGAGGAGATTTCACAAGGGGTAATGGAACAGGAGGAGAATCAATCTATGGCATGAAATTTGCAGATGAAAACTTCAAGATGAAACACACCGGACCGGGTGTACTATCAATGGCGAATTCTGGACCGAACACCAATGGTTCTCAGTTCTTCATTTGTACTGAGAAGACTTCATGACTGGATGGGAAGCATGTTGTGTTTGGAAAAGTTGTAGATGGTTATAATGTAGTCCAAGAGATTGAGAAGGTGGGATCTGATAGTGGGAGGACTTCTGAAACTGTTGTGATAGAGTACTGCGGGCAGATAGATAGCATCTGAGAGTTGAAGTTAGAAACGTTTGATCTTAGAAAATTCCCCTTTCTGAGCTCTCATGGCTGTCCAATAAATAAACTCATTCAAATTAACAAGGACATGTCGAAAGGTGTCTGGGATGGAGAAATTCTCACTTTTACTCACTCATAATAGATACCGAGATTAGTATCCTTTTCTCCTTCCTCCGACTCGAGAATAGGTATCGAAGTTAGTAGCTGACTCGAGAATAGGTATCAAAGTATCAAAGTTAGTAGCTGACTCGAGAATAGGTATCAAAGTTAGTAGCTAGAAGAAGGGACAAGTGTTTGATATCAAAAACTTAATACTCCACAAAATAAAGGGCTAAAGGAGAGGGAACAAAAACAATATGAATAACCAAAATAAAATATGAAAAATTAGTCCCAATCTTCATCGCTCAACTGATCATCGTCCATGTCCTTTGGTGGCCTAACCACCAATAACACAGTCCCTAAACTCTCCTTCAACCCCATTTCCATCAATTCACTTCCTCTCTGAACCTTCAACTCCCCGTCGTTCCCGGTGGCTCCCGTCATATAAAACCCATCTCCGGCCTCCACCTCTTTCCTACTCCGATCAGCCACCACCAAAATTGCCTCCTCCTTGTACCACCTATTCACCCGCCATGGCAGAGACCTCGCATCCTTGAACACCACCACCACGCCACCCTTCCCCAGTCCTGCTATCGGCTCCCACCCCGGCAGAACCACCCACCTTCTCCACCCCTCCTCCGCCACCACAACCCCAAATTCCCCTTCACTCCTAACCTCCATTGGCGCCTCTCTGACACCCTTTCCCCCTTCCTCCCCATTGCACACAGGCAACACCACCACTGTTGTCGCCTCCGCTACCTCCCCGATCTTCAACCGCACCACTGGAACCCTGACACCAGCTTCGATTTCCTCTTCCGCCCCATCTTTCCCCTCTCCTTCCCTCTCCAAGTCCCTGACAATCAGACTTCTCGCTTCCTCCGTTACCGCTACTTTCAACGCGTCCGCCAACGCCGCGGTCCTCGCTTCCGACATATTGCTATACTCTCTACTCAACCTGTAATGCATAAACGCTAAACAATCCCCAGGATAATCATAGTTGAAACTCTCCCAACCTTTATCCCCTCTTCGCCGAGGAAAATCCTTCATCGCTCGAGCCAGATCTTGCGCACCCTTTCCATCCAGCCTGTTCTCCATTATATATCTGGCCGCCGCCGCACGTTTCTCGGCGTTGAGGAGCCGAATTTCATAGAGCAATTCGGCGCCGCCAGTATCGAAAGCTGCAATTAAATCTGGATCAGTGTCGTTGATTGTCTGGACAAGGGATTCGCGAACCTGAGCGCCAACAACGAGGGTGTTCTGCTGGACTCCGCCGATTCCAGTGATTTCTTCGATGGTTGGGGGAGTGAAGCCCTCTTGAATCAGGGAGGAAATTAGCGGCGCGTACTCGAACCAGAGGCCGAGGCGGTTGGCGAGAACATCAAGCTTCCCGGCGGCGTCGAGAGAGCGGTACTGAGAGGGAAGAGGAGAGGGAGGGGGGCGAAATGGCTGGTAGACTTGTGGCTTGGCGACTAAGGGGGAAGGGGAAGGGAAAGGATTGAGAGAGGCGGAAATGAGGTTTGGCGGGTGGCGGAGGAAGAGGCGGAGAGGGGGAGTATGGAGGAGGAAGGTGGTGGTGGTAGTGGTGGTGTGAGCAGCCGCCGCAGAGAGTGAGGTGGCAGGGGCGGTAGCGGAGAGCATGGTGTGGATGGATGGAAATGGCAATGGTGGGAGGAGAGGAGAGGAAGAGCGCCTGCTTATAATCTTATCTGATACCCTTTTTGGAAGCATGGGGCTCTCATGGAGCGACGTGGGAGATATTTTTAGATCATTGTTTTTTAAGATTTTTTTTTTTTTTTTTCTTATCCTTTTAGTTATTTCTTTTCTATCTCAATGAACGTCAAAGATTTAAATTTTTAAAGAATTTGACATGACCTGATCAACTTACGCCTCCATTTAGATTTAGATTTTCATTTGTTTTTTAATAATAACAATAAAAATTAAAAAAAAAAACACACACTTTTATGACCTATTATCAACTCGACTTATCAACTAACTATTTTGTAAGATCGAGTTAGTTTTACACAAAAACTTTACATGACCTACTTATAATTTACAACCTATTATCGGTTCAACGGGGAACTAATCCGACAATACCCACTTACACTCTAACCTATTATGAGTCTAACTTATCAACTTAGTTATTTTGTAAACTAGACAAAAGTTCAGGTTTTTGTCGAAATCTATCTGAGAATTGAGAAAGAAGATTGCATGATCAATGAATCCCAAGATTTTTGTTTCTCAACTATGTCATCTAAGTAATTTGACTGTTTAGTGCACAAAACACATAAAAATGTATGAAATCTTTTAATATGGCCTCTTTTTACATCATTCTAAGGTCATTTGACAACTTAAGATTTAAAGTACATGTTTGGCTCGTATTCTATTGACAACAAAATATTAATAGTAAGAGTCGTCAGAGATCTAACAGATCCGATCTAAAAACGTGTACAACTCCCTTTTCATAAATCTTAATTTTTTTCCAAATTTTTTCACTTCAAGGCTTCACTTTAGAAACCAAACAAAGAGATTAAAAAAAAAAAAAAAAAAAAAAAA